GACGCCATGAGAGCGAAGGCCGTTGGTAACCGCCCTTTGCTCTCGCGCTGCTCCTCTCCCCGCCATGAACCGCCAGCAACAGACCCTCAGAGCGGTTGAGAGCGCCCGCGGCGCGCTGGAACCCCGCCTGCCCCAAGTCTCCTGCGCAGGCGCACGGGGCAGGCCTGGAGCCTGCCCTGGGAGCGCCCCACTGGAGATGGGGAAATGGAGGGAGGAGGCACCTGGGTGCTTCCTGGGGCCAGGCAAGGCCTCCTCATTTGAACCTCCATGACCTGCCTCTAAGAAACCAGTGCATCTGCAACGGCCACTCCCAGTTTTCAGTAATACAAACCTGCAGTCCATGCACTTAGGTAACACTCTTGCTGAAAGGTTTACCTTTGGAGGGTTTATCCTAAAGCAAAGTATCCTCAAAGTGCATGTTTTGCATTCCCTTTGGACTGCATTTATTTCATTCCTGCTCATTCCTTTCAAAAAATAGTATGCCCTGTTTTCCTACTCAGTCTGGAGATTCCATTAAGGAACATTTCTGGCAAAGAAGTTTAGACCTGAAAACACACTCCAAAATATACCTTCTTCTGACTCCATTCCCAGAGTTTTTCCTACCGCATTCAAATGATTTCTAGAAATGTTTTTGTTATAGCTTTGATCAATTTCAGTTGACAGAGCAGCAGATAGTAAGGGAATGATTCCACACTCCCCCACCCCCGACTCTGCAACACAGTGCAGAATTCCAGTGGGCAAGAAAAAACTAGTAGAGAAGCAACTCAGTGACTTGAGTTTGTAATAGCTTCAGAAGAAACTTTAATCGTCACATCCTTTCTGCTCATTTGCAGGATTCTTATCATCTGTCTCCATGTGATAACAATGAAGAGCCTTCACGTCTACGCTGGCCCAGGGCCTCAAGTGCAGAGACTGAGAGCTGGGCAGGACACAGCATGGAGCCGCCATTCCTCTACTGTTCCCTGATGGGGTGGAAGAACATGTGTCCTCTGAACAGGGGATCCAAGCCCAGGACTTTCTATGGGCATGCTCAGAGAGCAGCGGCCAGAGGACTTCTAGCCACCACCTCCCATGGTCAGTCTTCACAAATTACCTTTGGCTAATTTGATTGTCTATCCTCCTGGGGTCTAGGACTTCAGACATGTACAGCAGTGATTGCAGAATTGAGACAAGACACTGTTCCACAGTATATTTTTTGTATACTGGTGAGAAAAAGACTCATTCAAATCCTGTATCAAAGCCGTGTGTGCGAATCTTGAGAAAGCATCTGCTGACTGACTTGACAAGGGAGGAAGCAACCAAGAATTCTAAGTATGATATTTTTGTCTCAACATCCCTCTTAGATGAAGTTATTGGTTGAAAATCATTTAAGTTTGCCCCGTGATAAAAGGTGTAGTCCTCAGAAAGATCTCCAAAGCATTTATGGTTTGTTTTGTTTTGTTTTGTCAAGTTTACCATGATTTTGCTTGAATTGCTCTCCGTTGATCTTCTCAGCTAAGATCGAGATAGAGTTGCACAGCAGAAGAGGGCTACATGTAAGAAGACAGTTCTGTCTCAGAGGACAAAAGGCCTGGTAGCACCCAGACAGGCAGTCACCATGTGGAGGTCACTCCCCTCCCAGTGGCCACTGTGGAGGCATTTCATAGAAATGCTTGCTGGACCATTCAGGTTTAGAGTTGGGACAAAACCAACAATTCATGAGCATATTGGATAGGAGTTAGGAAATGACCTCACACAACTGGGGCAAGGAGGGGAGAACCCTGGGCTTGAGACTTGCAATCCACCGCCTGCCCCTGCAGTGTGGTCCCTGTTACATTTTCCTGCAACTCTGCCTTCTTGAGTCCAAATGTCTTCAAAAGGGGTAAACGCTTCGTAAGTGCCAACAGGATGTGTTTCAGTGAATGTTAGCAATGTGCACCGGTCTGGCTGAAGGCCTCTTCCGTTCCCCAACACCCTCCAATCAGTGCAAAATTACCCCGCCCAGCAGGGAGTGACGTGTGTGTCTCGGAAGATTTTGTTGCTGTGCTCTGAGTACTCACTCCTCATCTCCTTTGACCGGTTTCCTAACACTCCCCTTGTTCACAACACAGAACATGAGTGTTCTTTCCTGTCATTTTGACGCTGATAAATGGACTGTGATTCTCAGTGTGAAAATGAGAATGAAGTTTTTTTAAAGACAGGCTACAATAATTCCCACGCAGAGGAGCACGTGCGATGACACTAGATTCCAAACAGCAAGAACGTATGGTGAACATGATGAAGCCAACAGTGAGCTGGGAACAGTATGCTGGGAAACAAAATGAAAGGATTTCTGGTCTTGGTGCTATAGGTCGCATAGCCACTCTTTCCTGGATTGAGGCTTTCCAGCAAAGGGGATGGGAAGTAAGCCTGGCCTGCTGGTGTGGACAGAGATTCTAGCAACATACATGACCTGGGGGCACAAGGATTGCTTCTAAAACAATGATGAGCAGACAACCACCTAATAGCCTGGATCAGCTGAGACCATCCTGATTTCAAAAACCCAGTCCCCTTGCCTTCCTAAGAACCCCTGTGTTTTCAGACTGAAAACATGTTCTGAATTGTGTTCAGGAAGTGCATCCCCTGTTGAAATTCATCAAGAGTGGGAAAGAGCCAAAGTGGGAAGGAGCATGGGTTGATTGGCACAAAAGTAGGTCTCTGGATAAAGAATGGAAGTAAAGGGGAAATCAGGTGTAAGCTTTTGCTGTGAGTCGGGACAATTTGAAAGTTGCCTAAAGAGATGTACACCATCTGTGTTGCTGCCGTCCAGTTGGAAGGGAAACTCAGGTTCTTGCCTAATGGCTGAAGCCCTTCACAGAATGTCCCCCATCCCTACCAGCTGCCCACTGCCCCTCCCCCTCTGCAGAATGTCTGGGGGCCTATGTTCCAAACCTATTTACATTCAAATTTTCCCTGCTCCACTTGGACTCAGGAGCAACTGCTGAGCCAGATCACTCTCTTGGTCCTACCCTTGACTTTTCTCATTGCGGAAACTGCCAGACAGCGGTGGTCAGTGCCCAGCCTGAGGGGATGGCTTCAAATGGAGGTGAGCCTGTAGGGATGGGGGCATTATCTGAGTCTGCCATGCCTCAACTCCTTGGGAATTCAAATTTGACACTGTCCCTGGGGACAGTTGATAGGGCTGATGTTGAGGAGGGAGGGATCACTGGATGTCCCCGAGGACATCACACCTGGGGATGGCCATGGCACCCTGAGTCTGTGGTTAGGGAGGACAAATCCTTAGAGGTGGACCAAGATGCTTGGGGGAATACACCGTGTAGGGGAAAGGTTGGAGTGGATGGATTGATCCTTTCTAGAGGGAGACAGGTCATGTCATTATGTGTTTGTAGAGAGTGGTGGGATCTTGTTGTGCTGGTGGCCCCGGGAGGATGACAGGCAAGCCTGAGTCCTGTGCCGTATCTTCAGGCACCTGGAAGGTGTCCTTCCATAGTGTTCAGAGGGATTTAGACTGGAGTCTTCTAGATCTTAGGGAGGAGTGGGGAGAAGTGGTCTCAGCCGGAAAACTCTTGGGTGGGTTGACTGTGACAGACCTTGTAGTGACAACCTCTGGGTGAGCGAGCCTGGGGGCTACTGTAACTGCCACAGCCCGGAGCCTCTCAGCTCCCTCCCAGAGTTGGCTTCTCTGTCAGTTCAGGTAGCTGTTGGCTTTGATTTAACAGGGGTTAGGGGCAGATGGGGAAGTTCAGGCAACACAGGGCCTGGGCTTCCTGAGTCGTTCTGAATTGCTTGCCCTTTTGTGGAAGCTCAGGTCTTCAGACCCACTTCCTCTTGTCTGCTAGCTCATGGCCTGTCCTCTGCACTTTGTGTTACTGTGGAGATGAAGAATTTGCTCCTATTCCATTTATACAGCCTCATGCATGGGGGACAGGTGTGGATTCTTGCTGGTTCTCAGTGGAAGGGTCTGGAAAGGCTGGTTTCTACTCCTTCCTCTACTCCTAGAGTAGAGGAAGTAGAGGAATGAGAGTAGCACACAAATAGGAAGATGGTTCTCTTAATATTATTATTCAAGTTAGGATGTGCGTCGTGAATGATGGGGTGCATGTGCTGTATCCCTTATTCCCCTTGACTAGAGACTGCATGAGGTGCTAGTGAATACAGAGGAGTTCCAAACAACTTTGCCTTCCCTGGCCCATGGCCCAAGAACCTCTTGTTCTTGGTTGGCCACTATGTTCAGTTATTGGGAGCTCAAAGGAGAAGGACCAGAGATGGGCTCCTTATCCCACTACCTATTGTCACCTGAGCAGCAGCTGTGAAAATGCCTAGACACCTCCCCTGATAGCCCTGCTGCTCACCATTTGCTGGCTGTGTTCTAATCGTGTGCAGCTGTTGCTGGCTGTGCAGTGACACTATCTCAGGGGACTCCACCACTGCCTCTCAGACCTCTCCCTGGGAACAGAGCTTCCTGAGTGGCAGCTGGGACCTTCAAGCACTGAGGAAAGGGTGGGCCAAATCCAACCCCTCTTTAGCACTTGCTGTTGGTGGTGCCAGGACAATCACTTGTATGCTGGGCATGACGAGTTATGGATTATCTTCAGGGTTCGTAGGGCACTGGCTTGGGAAAGATTTCCATCCAGTGGTTTTCTTCTGTTGTGTTTGAGCTAGGAAAGACAGGGGTTTACAAGACCTTCAGGAAAAGGCTGATTGAAGAGGAGATGGGGCCATAATATTCAGAAGCTCCTGACTTCCTGTTGGCCTTCTGAGTGCCAAGCATTGCCCTAGGGTAGGCCCCTCACCTGTTGCTGAGCACGCTGAGGACCACCAAGCTGCTGAGAGAATCATCCCTGACCCATGGCTTGGGAGATCCTGTGAGGCTGACAGGGTCTGCCAGGGACACCCGAAGGAGACCCTTGGGCAGCGAAGGCTTAGCTGTTGCTTCTTGGGGGACAGGGGTCAGGTAGTCTTGGTGTCCGGGGCCAGGCTCTCTAGTGGAGCGACTCTCCCATGGATGAAGAGAGCATACGATGCACACTCAGGGACACTTGCAAGCTGCACAGTTTCCCTGTCACATGCCCTCAGCTGTTGGGACTCCCTCTGATTCCCCAGTGACTAGTGTGGGCCTGGAGACCCCAGCTCATTCACCTCTTTCCTTTGTCTCCACAGCATACCCAGTGCTGGGACCAGGCGTGACCATCAACCCTGGCACCTCTCTGTCTGTGTTCACAACTCTGCCCTTCGCCACACCTGCTCCCGGCCCAGCACAGGGGCCACCCCTCATGACTGCAGGGGTTCCTACAGGAGGCCCACTGGTGCTGCCTGCCTTCCCCAGCACATCTCTGGTGGCAGGACAGGATGGCCACGGCCCAAGTGGGGCCGCGGCTTCCAACGTCTTTGTCCAGATGAGGACAGAGGTGGGGCCTGTGAAGGCCCCTCAGGCGCAGACCTTGGTCCTAACTCAGGCCCCCCTCGTCTGGCAGGCTCCAGGCACCCTCTGTGGAGGTGTCGTGTGTCCGCCTCCCCTACTCCTGGCAGCTACTCCTGTGGTGCCTGTTATGGCTGCCCAGGTGGTTGGGGGCACCCAGGCCTGTGAGGGAGGCTGGTCCCAGGGCCTTCCTCTTCCACCACCACCACCACCAGTTGCCCAGATGCCCCCCATCGTGTCTCCAGCGAATACTGGGCCATGCCCACAAGGGGCTCATGGAGAGGGCAGCCTGGCTTCCTCCCAGGCTAAGTCCCCGCCGGACAACTCCTGTAACCCCAAGAGTGTCTATGAGAACTTCCGACTCTGGCAGCACTACAAGCCCCTGGCCCGGAGGCACCTTCCCCAGAGTCCTGACACCGAAGCACTTTCCTGCTTCCTCATGTGAGTGCCCTCGGGGCACAGGAGCTCATCCTGCAGCTCACATGTAAAGAGGCTGCTGGATGGACAGGAGAGCTTGTTCATCCGCTGTTCAGGGGAGCTTGCAGGGCGGTTGTGAGGGTGATGGGTTGCACTATGGGAAGGTACCTTTTCAACAACATTAATCTGCCTGCGGCTCAGGACAGACTGTCAGGGGCCTCATCTCAACTGCCCGTCACTGTCCCATGAGTCCAGTCAATCCTTACTTTCAATAATTTTCACAACAATGTTTACAGAAGGCCCAGGTCAGAGAGGGTTTCTGGTGTGACGTGAGCTACGGTTTGGGTTTAGGTCTTTGAGTACACACCCCAGTGCCTCCCCTTGAACCCAGTATTGATGGCCAGGAGCACATCACATCAGGCTGGGAGGAGGAGCTGCAGGGCCCAGATGGAACCTGGTACATGCCCGCAGTTCTGCCGAGGTCCAGTTAGCACAGCGGTGGTGGAGCCTTCACAGGGGGATGGTCTTGGGCCCCACACTGGGGTCGATGCTGGGCAGGTATTTGCATCTTCACCCTCAATCCCTCCCAGAAAAAGGGACAATGATGCTTCATTCAGGGGATGGTGAAGAGATGACTTGAGCTCACATATGACATGCATAGCACAGTGCCTGGAACATGCTATGACACATTACATGATAGCAATTATGATTACCGTCCCCATTACTATCATTATCAGGACTAGGCCATCTAGGAGAGAACTCCCCAAAGCCACAGGCTCCAGTGATAGCTCTGAGTGCACCACATGCCCAGCAGCCCAGGGCCGTGGACTGTGGTGACTGTGAGGCAGCAACGTCAGCATCTGGAAGAGTTTGTGGTTTCATTCCCAGTCCCAACCTCTCTCCACACTGTGGTGCCTCTGTGACCCTGTGTTTCCCACTGATGAGCAAACGGGAGCTTGAGCACATCCACCTTGCAACACACTGGCCGTTCCCCTAGGGAAGTTCCCTGCCTGGGGTGTAGGTGAAAGGTGACCCCATCTTCATCCCCAACAATCTCACTTCCCCCGCACCCTGGAACTGGTTGCATTCCCCCTTGGAGCGGAGTCCCGGTGCACTGGGGACCCTGATTCTTGGAGTGGAGCTGCCCCAGGCTCACAGGCCTTTGCCATGTCTCCTGTGGGAATGTGGGAAGCTGTACCTGGCTGCTTGCAGTGGGCTTGGACACGGCTCTGCTTTGGTTCTGGACATGTGCTCCTGCTCCTCATGCTCCGGGACCCTGAGGCTGCGTCCCCAGGGGCTGCCTTACTCCAGAGTCCCCAGGAAGCTGGTTAAATACTCAGTCCTGGGGCCCTGGAACCTGCACTTTAACCCTCGCTCCCAGGTCATTCTGTGTGCACACTGTCTCATTCAGCTCAGGCTCCGCCATAACAAATCCCATAGACTGGGTGCTTTATCAAGACACATTCATGTCTCCCAGTTCCAGAGGCCAGAAGTCCCAGATCAAGGTGACAGCAGATTGGGTGTCTGGTCAGGGTCCTCTTCCTGGCTGGAGAGAGCTGCCTCTGGCTGTGTCCCCTTGTGGCTGAGAGGAAGAGCCCTGGCATCTCCTCCTGGCCTTATCAGGGCTCCCATTCCATGACTGGGACCCACGCTCATGACCTGCTCTGACCCTGATTGCCTCCAAATACTGACACACTGGCCCTGAGGGCTTCAGCACAGAAATGTTGGGGGCACACATGTTCCACCCATAGTACTGACTTCACTTCTCAACACTGAGGACCCGAGAGGCAGTCGGAGAGGCCACTTGGTAGCTTGTGTTGATGTTTGATCTTGCAGTCGTGTCCTGGGGCCTGAGGAGCCCACCTGGGGGAGAACAGGACAGGGACATGGCAGGACAGGTGTGGGGAGGACAGGGGCCAGGTGTTGGGACCAGGTGGGCTTGGGATGAAGGGTGGGCTTATAGACTGGGACTGACTGCACTGGTTTACAGCCCAGTTCTCCGATCCCTGGCCCGGCGGAAGCCCACCATGAGCCTGGAGGAGGGACTGTGGCGGGCCGTGCGGGAATGGCAGCACACAAGCAACTTTGACCGGATGATCTTCTACGAGATGGCGGAAAAGTGAGTCTGGGGTCCTTGGGGCAGGGCCCGCATGGCAGTGTGAGAGTGAGTGACAGAGGCCTGGTGGCCGTGGTGGCTTCTCAGCGTGGAGCATGAGGGGGATGTGGACAAACACAAGACGCTCTGGGCCCCTGGCTCCCTCAGGAAGCTGCTCCTACCACCTAGAGTGCTCTGGGGTCTCAGTCCTCACTATTGGGAAGCAGCCCTGCCTGGCCTGGGGCCTACCCCTGCCTTGACACTGGAGGTCATGGCGGGAGCAGCCAGCATCACAGCCCAAAGTGGGTCACTTCCAGCTGTGGGAATGGGGAGAAGGGCTGCTAGTGACTATAGACAAGAGTGGGGTGCAGGCTCCTCACAGCAGTGGCCAGAAGTCGGTTTTCTCCCATCCCAGCCCGACCAGGGAGTTGGGTCGGGGAGACCTGTGCCCAGGACACCGTGAGCCCCATCTCTGGCCTGACCGCCTTTGCTCCTGGGCAGTCCCCTCCGTGAAGACAGACAGCCAGCAGCCTCAGGGGAAAGGCGCCCTGTCCTCTGGGCTCAGCTTGTGCTTCTTCCTGATCATTGGTCTCCCAGGCCTTGTGGCCCTGGCTTATCTTTGAGGGGCCCACAGTCCCAACCTCAGGACTCCTGCATCTGGGCATCATCCCTGACGCCTTCTGCCATCAACCCCACCCCTGGCCAGCTGAAACCTGGAGGAGGGATCCCCTGGGACCCTCCTGGACATCGTGGCCCTGACTTGACTCAGGAAGCCCCGTTGATGCCATGGGCTCTACAGGGGCCGGGTGAGGGAGGCTGAGCCCAGAACTCTGGGAGCAGCTCCCTCCTGGGACTGGGGGATGGCACCTAGTGAAGGGCTGGACAGTCCACCGGAGGCACTTCCTCCCATCCCTGCCCTCGGCCGCTGCCTGGTCCTGGGGAAAGGGGGCCTGGACCCTCTCAGCACAGCCTGGGCCTCCTTCACCCCCAGGTTCCTGGAGTTTGAGGCTGAGGAGGAGATGCAGCTTCAGAAATCGCAACTGATGAAGGGGCCCCAGTGCCTGCCTCCTCCAGCCCCACCGAGGCTTGAACCTCAAGGACTTCCAGCCCCTGAGGTGGACAAGCAGCCAGGTATGGCTTCCCACATTCCCACAGGAGCCATGGCAAAGGCCAAACGGGCCAAGGGAGGCCACCGTGCCCACACCACATGCTTCCCTTCAAGAGGGAGATCTTCTCCCTCCAACAGGACAGCTTCCAGGTGCATACATTGGGTATTGACCTGGTCAAGTTTCCTAGCTACTCTCTCTCCTCGCCCATCGAAACTTCCACACATGCTCTGCCCAGGAAGCAGGGATGAGTGAGGAGAGTACACAGCATATTGATGGCTCCAAACTTCCTCCCACGCGATGCTGTCTCACATGTGCCCCTCCTGCCTCCTCCGGGGGTGCTGTGGTTCAGGTGGTCCTGACCCACCTGGGACCTACTTCACATCCCCAAGCCCTGCCCTCCCCTGTGTGGTGCAGGCAGGAGGAGTGGCCCTCACCACACCCATCCTCCTCCCTCTCTGCCTCAGTGTACCTTCCCAGCAAGGCTGGCCCCAAGGCCCCGACTGCCTGCCTGCCACCACCCAGGCCCCAGAGGCCAGCGGAGACCAAGGCCCGCCTGCCACCACGCAGGCCCCACCGGCGAGCAGAGACCAAGGCCCGCCTGCCACCACCCAGGCCCCAGAGGCCAGCGGAGACCAAGGTCCCCGAGGAGATTCCTCCAGAAGTGGTGCAGGAGTATGTGGACATCATGGAGGAGCTGCTGGGGCCTCCCCTCGGGGCCACAGGGGAGCCCGAGAAACAACGGGAAGAGGGCGAAGTGAAGCAGCCACAGGAAGAGGACTGGACATCCCCAGACCCGGGCCTCCTGAGCTACATTGACAAGCTGTGTTCCCAGAAGGACTTTGTCACCAAGGTGGGCTGGCCTGGAGTGCTGGGGTCTGCAGGATTCCAGGGGGTAGCACTCCCAGGTCCTTAGAATTAAGCTCTGTTCCTTAGTTACTCAGCAGTGCGTGTATTTCCATGGATTTGAGTGTCTGTGTACGTCACTCTGTGTGTCTGTGTGTTGCTGTGTGTTTGTGTCTGTGATTTGTTACCGTGTGTCTTTGTGTGTCTGTGTGGGTGTGAGTGTGGAGTGTGTATGCTGTGTCTGTGTCTTTTCCTGTGCCGTATGTGGGTCTGTTTGTGTGCCTGTGTGTGGTTTGTGTGTCTCTGTCTGTGTGTGCGTATGCTACCAGGTCTGCGGTCTGTGTCTGTAGCTGGTAGTCGCCATGATGTGAGACAGCCCCACGAGGGTGGGGACGAGGTGCTTGCAGCTTTCTGCATCTCTTCTGGGTGTCCTTGGCTCTGGGTTACTCCCTGTGCAGGAAGTTCACGCCTTCTTCCTTCTGTTTCCAGGTGGAGGCCGTCATTCACCCCCGATTCCTGGAAGAAGTGCTTTCCCCAGATCCACAGATGGATTTCTTGGCCCTAAGCCAGGAGCTGGAGCAGGAGGAAGGACTCACCCTTGCCCAGGTACTCCAGGGGCTGGAGGGACCCAGCACACAAGGCCCACCTGATTGTCTAACCCCACCCTGCTGGGGATGCTCGGCTTCTTGGGGAGCCACTCCGGGGTGGGAAGATGCAGGTTCAGAGGGAGTAGGATGGAGAGGAGCCAGGGATGGGACTCAGGATGCAAGCTGCAGTGAGGCCCAACGGGATGCCCGGCAGAGCCACACCCTCTCCCTTTGACATAAAGCCCAGCTGCCTCAGGCTTCCCTGCCTCCCGCCCAAGTGTCCTGGTCTCCACCACCCTGGGCCCTGCTCACACCCAGGGTAGTGCCAGTAAGTGCCCCCTTTCCTTCCGCAGCTAGTGGAGAAGCGCCTCCTATCCTTGAAGGAGAAAGAGCATGTGAGGGCAGCCCCTAGTCATGGCATGGCCCGGTTGGACTCAAGTTCTTCTAAATTTGCAGCTGGCCAAGGAGCAGAGAGAGACATCTCTGACCCCCAACAAGGGGTTGGCATGGAAACCTGCCCACCCCAGACGGCTGCCCGGGACCCTCAGGGACAAGGCAGAGCCCAAACTGGCATGGCCAGGTCCAAAGACTCTGCTGTGCTTTTAGGATGTCAGGATTCCCCTGGGCTGAGAGCTGCCCGGCCAACCTCTCCTCCCCAGGACCACAGACCCACCTGCCCTGGCCTGGGGACCAAGGACACCTTTGATATCCCTGGAGGATCTCCTGTCAGGGAGTCAAACGGGCTGGCTCAGGGGTCAAATGAGGAGGAGGAGCTCCCCAGCCTGGCCTTCTTCTTGGGTTCCCATCATAAGCTGCTGCCCTGGTGGCTACCCCAGAGCCCTGTCCCTGAGTCAGGCCTTCTCAGCCCAGAAAAGTGGGGACCCCAGAGAACTCTTCAGTCCCCATCTGCTCCGAGAAGAGGCCTCAGCCTAGCAGCCTCTCCTGCCACAAAGTCCAAGAAGCGACCTCTCTTCAGAAGCGCATCCCCTGCCGAAAAGACAACCCACCCAGGGCCTGGGCTCAGAGTCTCTGGGGAGGAATCCCTGGCTTGGGGGCTGGGTGGCCCCTCACAGTCTCAAAAGAGAAAGGGTGACCCTTTGGTCTCCAGGAAGAAGAAGAAGCGGCATTGTAGCCAATAGGGGCTTCCGGGCAGGTTTTCTGGTGCCAGTCCCCAAGGGTGGGGGTTTGGCATCCGATGCCCCAAAGCAGTCAAAAGCTTCTTCCTCCCCAATGCTGATCTTGCTGGGCCTTAGCTTTGGAGGGTAGGGGAGGGAGGGGAGGGGAGGGAGAGGGTGGCTGAATGGGGAGGGCAGGGAGGGAGGGGAGAGGAGGGAGAGTGTGGCTGAATGGGTAGGGCAGGGAGGGAGGGGAGAGGAGGGAGAGGGTGGCTGAATGGGGGAGGGCAGGAAGGGAGGTCCTGGGGGGAAGGGGCTGGGGGGTGGGAAGCAGTGCCTTGGGGGTCTTATGTGTAAATGTGAATAAATGTAGTTGTGTTGGAAAATGCTCTCAGGGCTGCTGCCTCTGTCCTCGGGACTGTGCTGCTCCGTGGAGGGTATCTGTGAGGGTGGGCAGAGGAACTGGGAGATGCCAGGCACTGGGAACCCACAGGGGCTGGCCCCACTTTTTCCCCCTGGTGTGGGGAGCCCCTTCAGTTGCTCCAGGGACTGACAGATGCCAAGGACGCCCTGATCCCTCCCACCACCCACTCATAAAGCCCTGCCTGCATTCGGGAGGCTTCTTGGAACCTCCCATCGTTATCAGTATCCCCAGAAAATCCTGGGATTGGGGAGACCTGGTTGGCTCTTGTTCTGCTCAGTGGGAGCTGAGGAGAAGGCAGCCGTCTGCAACATGAACATGGGGAGAGGCAGCCGCTCCTGCTTAATCCTCATCAGGAAGAGCACGGGCACTGGGCTGAGTGGAGACGTTGAGGTGACCGTCCACATGGGTGTGTTTGGGATACAACGATGGATGGGGAGCAGGGGAAGTCCCTTTGCCTGTTTCTGGGCAGGAGAGAGTCTTGTCCAACTAGCTGAAGCAGATGCTCCTTGCTGTGGCCACAGGGACTGGCCTCAGGGGCCCTCAGGGTCCTCCATGGAGCCCCCCACAGCTATGATTCCCTTCCCGTATGATGACTGAACTTGTGTGGAATTGATGTCGACACAGATTTACATTGGTATCTAAGACAGTTCCCTCCCAATACACCATCATCAATGGGGACAAGCATGACCAGCCCACCAGGCACAGGGTGGGTATCTGCTAGTTCCAGGACCAGGGGAACTGGGGCCCAGGCTGAGATGGGTTGAGGGTCAGCCACCCTTCTGCCAGGCGCAGACCCCAAGGGCGGAGCAGGGCCTGCCTGGGATGTGGCATTGGCTGTCTGGGAAGTGCCCTGGGAGTCGGGGGCTAGGTGTTCGCTGAAGGGAGACTTCCAGAGTCTGTGAGTGAGATGAGGACTACATCAGGAGAGGGACTGAGGCTGGGGAGGACACTCTGCTCTTTCCCAGGTTGTCCTGTCCTCCCAGTCTCTGCTGAACTCCCCTCACCCCAGAGCCAACTTCTGCCCCCCTTACCCCTAACCCACCTCTTAGAATCTCAGATCCCAGCATGGACAGGACCCAGCACCCGCCCTGGTTCCCTCCTGGCCAACACCTTCTTCTCCACAGTCTGAGTTCTGATTCCTCCACCAGGGCCCTTTTTGGCTCAGGACCCCTGTGATTGCCAGGGCGCTGGTCCCAGCACTGCCTGCATGCAGAGCTGTGGTCATGGCGCTGGGGGCTGGCCCAGCAGCAGAGGCTGGTGGGGCAAAATGGTCTGGCACACAGTGGCCTGGCCCCTCAGTCAAGTGACAAAGGGAGCCATGTTTGGGTCCTCTCTGGCCCCTTCTACCCACAGAACACAGCAGTCAGCCAGACAGATGCCCTTCTGCCCCCTCCCCTCTGTTCGACGTGGGCAGTGTTGGAGGCCTGCCGTCCTCTGTGGCCTTTAGGAAGGAGAGTTTATCTTGGCAGGGCTTCCCCAGCTCAGTGCACATCAGGCCCTCGGGGAAAATGTGGGGAGTGAAGAGTCACTGGTGGGTGATGTGGGCAGCTCCCGTGACTCCTCTACATTCAGGGCCATCCTCAGGAGATAAGGTAGCACTGCCCCTTTGCAGGAGTTAGGAATGTTAAATGAGCCTTGTTTGAAGGGAACATGGTCCATACTCTGGTGTGTGTGGGTGCCCAGCCAACTTCCTCACCTAAGGGTGAAATGACACCCTGGGGCTCCTGCTGGTTACCCCACTGGCTGTTGTCTATCCCACAGTCCCTGTCCTTGTTTTGGCTGAACCATTCCTCGGAGGCAGAACTTGTGCTTCCTCCACCTCTGTGTCCCACCTGAGCCCTACAATCTGCCCCTAAACGGGCACAGTGGGGTTGACTGGGGGCTCTGGCAGACTGAACACACGTCGCCCTCCTACCCCCCGCCCAGTTCCTGTGTTGAAGCCCTAACCCCCAACGTGATGGTATTTGGAGATGTGACCTTTGGGAGTTATTCAGGGTTAGAAGAGACCATGAGGGTGGGGCCCTAATGATGGGATTAGGGCCCTGGTAAGAAGCAGAGACCCCAGAGCTCTCTCTCTCCCTGACACGAGGACACAGTGAGAAGGCGGCCATCTGCAAGCCAGGAAGAGAGCCCTCACCAGGATCTCACCACACTGGGACGCTAACCTCGGACCTCCATTCTCCAGACTGTGACAAATACATTTGTTTTTTTTAATATGCGGCACCACCCCCAAGTCTATGGCACTTTATCCTAGCAGCCCTATGTGACTAGGACAAGGTCCATAATCTCAAGAACTTCCTTCCTGACTGGTATCTGGAAACCGTGCATCAGAGCCACGGGAAAGAAAGGCTTGGCCCTTTGCAACTGTCAGTGCACCTCCACCCCAAGTGCAGTGTATCACACATGAACCAGGAGAGCCTGGGACGCAGTGAAAGGGAATCTGTAAATACCCATGATGTCGTCACATCCACGCTTGGGGAAGCCATACAGCTTGCTCACAGTGGGTGTTGGGGGTGTGCTGAGGCTCTCAGTCTACTTGGCCTCCCTGCTTACGCACTCAGGTCACTATCTGGGAACCAGCGCAGCTGGTGCTGCCCCAGGCCAGTTTGTCTCCAGAGACCCCTCCGTTCACCACTGGGTGACAGATCCCTGAAGAAGCCATGGCCTCCTGGGAAACTCCATCTGACACCATGAGTAAGGCCGGCCCCCGTTAGTGAGCATGCTGTGCTTTCTGACAGCTGCCAGGATGGACTTGATCCAAGTGGCTGCCCTTTTGTAGCTCACTTGGATTCTAACTTCAGTGTCACATGATGCCCTATGAATGGAACATACAATATGTGTCTTTCATATCTGTCTTCTTTCACTTAGAATAATATTTCCAAGGTCATCCACATTTTTTGTATGTATCATTACATCAAACCTTTTTGTTGCTGAATAATATTCCATTAATGGATATACTAAAATTTATCCATTTATCAGTTAAGAACATTTGAGTTGTTTTCACTTTTTGGCTATTGTGAATTATACTTCTCAGAACATTTGTGTACAAGGTTTTCTGGGGATGTATGTTTCCATTTCTCATGGCTACATACCTAAGAGTGAAATTGATGGGCCATATGGAACCTCTATGTTTAACCATTTCAGAAGGTGCCGGACTGTTTCCAGTGTACATGAACCATTTTATATACCCACTAGCTGTGTGAGGGTCCCAGCGTCTCTCCATATTCCAGCCAACATTTACTATCAACTCTCTTTTTGATAAAGTCATCCTAGTGGTTATGAAGCTGCATCTCATCATAGTTGCATTTGTGTTTCCATGATGTTGAACCTCTTTCATGTACCTATTTGCCACTTGTATATCTTCTTTGGAGCAATGTTACTCAACACTTAGTAATTTTTAACCGGTTTGTGTTTTGTCATTGAGTTGTAAGAATTCTTTATATATTCCAGATAAAAATGCTTTACAAGATATAATTTGCAGAAATATTCTCCCATTCTATGGGTTGTCCTTTACTTTCTTGATGGTACTCTTTGAGGCACAAATGTTTTTACTTTGGATGAAGTCCATTTTATCTATTTTTTCTTTTGTTACTTGTGGTTTTGATGTCATGTTTAAGAAACCATTAACTAGTCCTAGGTCATGAAATTTATTCCTATGCCTTTTCCTTTTTTTTTTTTTTTTTGACATAAGAACAGTTTTATTTTAATCACTTAACACTTGTGCATTATTCAATTTTGAGATTGAAATACTTGCTTCCCTTTCAACTGATCAGGAAATGGTCTGAGTTGGCAGAAGTTAATCCTCACATTATTCAGCTAATGAGACACAGAACCCTAAAACCTGATTCCAACTTCCGCCTGAACCTCACAATGCAAAGCAAAGCCTTTCATTTTAATGTTGTACAAGTATAAGGACAATGTAATCTGGATTAACTTTAGGTAACAATAACTTAAGATAGGAAAATGTATCATATTACAGACATTTAAAAATTGACTATACAATAAATGAAGAAGAAAACTAACAATAGAACAGGACAATGTTCAAATAGCGAATACAATGAACAAATGGGGCCAAAAGATCAACATTTATCTCTCATCATCTTTCTTGCAATGTCTCAGCTTTCTTCTCCCAAACATAAAGGCAAATTAATTCAAAGTAGCCCTATTAAGAATATTTGTTTATCATGCCTGTAATCCCAGCACTTTGGGAGGCCCAGGTGGGCGGATCACCTGAGGTCAGGAGTTTAAGACCAGCCTGACCAATATAGTGAAACTCCGTCTCTACTAAAAATACAAAAATTAGCCAGGTGTGGTGGCACATACCTGCAGTTCCAGCTACTCAGGAGGCTGAGACAGGAGAATTGCTTGAACCCAGGAGGCGGAGGTTACAGTGAGCTGAAATCGCACTACTGCACTCTAGCCTGGGCAACAGAGCAAGACTCCGTCTCAAAAAAAAAAAAAAAAAAAAAAAAGACATAGTAAATATAAATGAATTAACTCACACAACCTACTTACAAACAAAACTAGAATAAACAACAACTTGTAGGAACCACCTCTAGTTGATTTCATCACTTAACAGGGGCAAGATCTTAGGTGGGTCACTTTGTTTAA